AGTAACAGTGAGGATTAACGTGCACACTACAGTAACTAGTAACAGTGAGGATTAATGTGCACACTACTGTAACTAGTAACAGCGAGGATTAATGTGCACACTACAGTAACTAGCAACAGTGAGGATTAATGTGCACACTACAGTAACTAGTAACAGTGAGGATTAATGTGCACACTACTGTAACTAGTAACAGCGAGGATAAGTGTGCACACTACAGTAACTAGTAACAGTGAGGATTAATGTGCACACTACAGTAACTAGCAACAGTGAGGATTAATGTGCACACTACTGTAACTAGCAACAGTGAGGATTAATGTGCACACTACAGTAACTAGTAACAGTGAGGATTAATGTGCACACTACAGTAACTAGCAACAGTGAGGATTAACGTGCACACTACAGTAACTAGTAACAGTGAGGATTAATGTGCACACTACAGTAACTAGTAACAGTGAGGATTAACGTGCACACTACAGTAACTAGTAACAGCGAGGATAAGTGTGCACACTACAGTAACTAGTAACAGTGAGGATTAATGTGCACACTACTGTAACTAGTAACAGTGAGGATTAATGTGCACACTACTGTAACTAGTAACAGTGAGGATTAACCTTCATAATAAATAGTGATAGTGAAGATTAATATTAATTACAACTAGTGAGAGTAACCTGTAGAGGGTGGCTACAACAACTTGTAGAGGGTGGCTACAACAACCTGTAGAGGGTGGCTACAACAACTTGTAGAGGGTGGCTACAACAACTTGTAGAGGGTGGCTACAACAACCTGTAGAGGGTGGCTACAACAACTTGTAGAGGGTGGCTACAACAACTTGTAGAGGGTGGCTACAACAACTTGTAGAGGGTGGCTACAACAACCTGTAGAGGGTGGCTACAACAACTTGTAGAGGGTGGCTACAACAACTTGTAGAGGGTGGCTACAACAACTTGTAGAGGGTGGCTACAACAACTTGTAGAGGGTGGCTACAACAACTTGTAGAGGGTGGCTACAACAACCTGTAGAGGGTGGCTACAACAACCTGTAGAGGGTGGCTACAACAACCTGTAGAGGGTGGCTACAACCTGTAGAGGGTGGCTACAACCTGTAGAGGGTGGCTACAACAACTTGTAGAGGGTGGCTACAACAACTTGTAGAGGGTGGCTACAACAACTTGTAGAGGGTGGCTACAACAACCTGTAGAGGGTGGCTACAACCTGTAGAGGGTGGCTACAACAACTTGTAGAGGGTGGCTACAACAACTTGTAGAGGGTGGCTACAACCTGTAGAGGGTGGCTACAACAACTTGTAGAGGGTGGCTACAACAACTTGTAGAGGGTGGCTACAACCACTTGTAGAGGGTGGCTACAACCTGTAGAGGGTGGCTACAACAACTTGTAGAGGGTGGCTACAACAACTTGTAGAGGGTGGCTACAACCTGTAGAGGGTGGCTACAACAACTTGTAGAGGGTGGCTACAACAACTTGTAGAGGGTGGCTACAACCACTTGTAGAGGGTGGCTACAACAACCTGTAGAGGGTGGCTACAACAACCTGTAGAGGGTGGCTACAACAACTTGTAGAGGGTGGCTACAACAACTTGTAGAGGGTGGCAACAACCTGTAGAGGGTGGCTACAACAACTTGTAGAGGGTGGCTACAACAACTTGTAGAGGGTGGCTACAACAACTTGTAGAGGGTGGCTACAACAACCTGCAGAGGGTGGCTACAACCTGTAGAGGGTGGCTACAACAACTTGTAGAGGGTGGCTACAACAACTTGTAGAGGGTGGCTACAACAACTTGTAGAGGGTGGCTACAACAACTTGTAGAGGGTGGCTACAACAACTTGTAGAGGGTGGCTACAACCACTTGTAGAGGGTGGCTACAACAACCTGTAGAGGGTGGCTACAACAACTTGTAGAGGGTGGCTACAACAACTTGTAGAGGGTGGCTACAACAACGTGTAGAGGGTGGCTACAACCTGTAGAGGGTGGCTACAACAACTTGTAGAGGGTGGCTACAACAACCTGTAGAGGGTGGCTACAACAACTTGTAGAGGGTGGCTACAACAACTTGTAGAGGGTGGCTACAACAACTTGTAGAGAGCGGTTACAACAACCTGTAGAGGGTGGCTACAACAACTTGTAGAGGGTGGCTACAACAACCTGTAGAGGGTGGCTACAACAACCTGTAGAGGGTGGCTACAACAACCTGTAGAGGGTGGCTACAACAACTTGTAGAGGGTGGCTACAACAACCTGTAGAGGGTGGCTACAACAACTTGTAGAGGGTGGCTACAACAACTTGTAGAGGGTGGCTACAACAACTTGTAGAGGGTGGCTACAACATCTTGTAGAGGGTGGCTACAACAACTTGTAGAGGGTGGCTACAACAACCTGTAGAGGGTGGCTACAACCTGTAGAGGATGGCTACAACAACTTGTAGAGGGTGGCTACGACCTGTAGAGGGTGGCTACAACAACCTGTAGAGGGTGGCTACAACAACCTGTAGAGGGTGGCTACAATAACCTGCAGAAGGTGACTACAATAACCTGTAGAAGGTGGCTACAATAACCTGCAGAAGGTGACTACAATAACCTGTAGAGGGTGGCTACGACAACCTGCAGAAGGTGACTACAACAACCTGCAGAAGGTGACTACAACAACCTGCAGAAGGTGACTACAACAACCTGCAGAAGGTGACTACAACAACCTGCAGAAGGTGACTACAATAACCTGCAGAAGGTGATTACAATAACCTGCAGAGGGTGGCTACAACAAAAACAGCAGCAGGCTGCTGAGACCACCTACAATATAAGAACATAAGGAAGTAGGAACACTGCAGCAGGCCTACTGGCCCATACTAAGCAAGTCTTTCTGAAACCCAAACCCACCAAAAAATATTCGCCCAACCCAATATCAATGTTACCCAAGAAATAAGCTTTGATAACGTTATTAACTCAAGTGCAAGTCCCACTCAGATCCACCCCCTCTCACTCGTGTATTTATTTAACCTATATTTGAAGCTACTCAAGGTTTTAGCTTCAATAACACTACTAGGCAGACTGTTCCCTTCATCGACTACTCAATTTCCAAACCAGTACTTTCCTATATCCTTTCTGAATCTAAATTTATCCAACTTTAATTCATTATTTCGTGTTCTTAAAGGAATATCCTCAGAACCATATTTATATCTCCCTTATTTATATCCATCTTTCACTTATACACATTAATCATGTCTCTCATCATTCTACGTCTTAGAAGACAATATAGGTTCAGGGATTTTAATCTCTCTTCGTAATGGAAAATTTCTTATAAAATGGATTAATTTTGTTATTCTTCTGTGAATATTCTCTAACGAATTTGTATCCATTCTGTAGTATGGAGACCAGAAATGAGTTGCATAATTTAAGTGATGCCTTACTAATGATTTGTAGAGCTGTAGTATAACAAATGGATTTCTTTTACTTACACTTCTGGCTATAAATCCCAGTAATCTGCCTTATTACGTACGCCTAGGCATTACTGTCTTGGTTTAAGGTTCCAGCTTACCATAACCCCCAAGTACTTTTCGCATTCTGTATGGCCAAGTTCTACATTATATACATTACAAGCGCTAGAGTTACGGACATTCCCGAGCTTCAGGACTTTGCATTTATCTACAGTGAACCGCATCTGCCACTTATCTGACCACGATATGAGTTTGTCTAAATCCTCCTGAAGTTCAGTAATATCTTCCTCTGTATCAATTATCCAACCAATCTTCGTGTCATCAGCGAATTTGCTCATATCACTAGTTATTCCTTCGTCAAAGTCATTAATGCATATTATAAACAACAATTGGAGTAAAACTGATCCCTGTGGAACGCCACAAGTTACAGATCCCCCACTCAAATTTCACCCCTTTTATGCACGCACACACACACACACACACACACACACACACACACACACACACACACACACACACACACACACACACTGCTTCCTGTTGGTCAGCCGCGCCTCGACCAATGACAACTTTTTCCCCAATACCATGAGCTGCCACTTTCTTGAAGTCTTTTCTTTGGTACTCTATCAAAAGCTTTATCAAAATCCAAATATATAAAATCGAATTCTTGATAATGATCAACTGACTCAATTAACGGTTCACAAAGTTCCATTATGAACTCTTCAAGAACCCTTAAAAAGTTCCTGAGAGCGTCTACAGCAGCAGTAGCAACCTGCTGAGAGCGGCTACAGCAGCAGTAGCAACCTGCTGAGAGCGGCTACAGCAGCAGTAGTAACCTGCTGAGAGCGGCTACAGCAGCAGCAGCAACCTGCTGGGAGCGTCTACAACAGCAGCAGCAACCTGCCGAGAGCGGCTACAGCAGCAGTAGCAACCTGCTGAGAGCGGCTACAGCAGCTGTAGCAACCTGCTGAGAGCGGCTACAGCAGCTGTAGCAACCTGCTGAGAGCGGCTACAGCAGCAGCAGACTGCAGAGAGCAGCTACTAGTCCTAGTACTGAAGGACTAAGACAGGTGTTGACACTAGCACAGGTGAGGCAGTGCTGGAAAGCAGAGTACCACACACACACACACGTGGAGCTTGAGTACACGTGTGCTGAGCTTGAGTACACATGTGCTGAGCTTGAGTACACGTGTGCTGAGCACAGTAAGACAGCACCCGCACACACATACACACAGGTGCTGAGGAGCAGCACAACAGAGTACAACACCAGCACACACGTGCTGAGCACCGTACCAGCACACATGTGCTGAGCACAGTACCAGCACACACGTGCTGAGCACCGTACCAGCACACATGTGCTGAGCACAGTATCAGCACACACACGTGCTGAGCACAGTACCAGCACACACGTGCTGAGCACCGTACCAGCACACATGTGCTGAGCACAGTACCAGCACACACGTGCTGAGCACCGTACCAGCACACATGTGCTGAGCACCGTACCAGCACGCACACACACATACACGTGCTGAACACCAGCACAGCAGAGCACATCACCAGCACACGCGACGCACACTGAGTCAGGCGGCACACTAACACACACACACCCAGACACACTGACACCACCACCACCGCCGCCACCACCCCCACCAACACCACTGCCGCCACCACCACTGCCGCCACCACCACCACCGCCGCCACCACCACTGCCGCCACCACCACCGCCGCCACCACCCCCACCAACACCACTGCCGCCACCACCACTGCCGCCACCACCACTGCCGCCACCACCACTGCCGCCACCACCACCGCCGCCACCACCACTGCCGCCACCACCACCGCCACCACCACCACCACCGCCGTCACCACCACCGCCACCACCAACCACCACCAACCGCCACCGCGGCCACCACCACCAACCGCCACCGCGGCCACCACCACCACCGCCACAACTGCCACCGCCACCACCACTACCGCCACGACCACTGCCGCCCCCACCACCACCACCCCGCTACTGCCAAAACCACCACTGCCACCACCACCACTGCCACCGCCAACACCACCGCCACCACTACCATCACCACCACCACTGCCACCTTCACCACCGCTACCACTACCATCACCACCACCACTGCCACCTTCACCACCACCACCGCCACCATCACCACCACCACCACTGCCACCACCACCATCACCACCACCACTGCCACCACCACCATCATCACCACTACCATCAACACCATCACCACCACCTCCACCACCACCATTACCACTGCCACCACTTCCATCACCACCTGTGGCATGCAAAGAGTATGTTACATTGATTCGGCGTATGTACACACTCTCATGTAGGCTGCCTCACAACCAGTGAACCAGGTACTAAGGGTTTAATAATTCAGAGAGCCCCATCGTTAAATCAGTATCTTGGTTCAGCCAGTCATACTGTGGGTCTGACAACTGCGAAGGTGATGTGGAAGCACTCACAGTTCACTCTTGCCAGATTCACCCAGCTGCTGGTTGAACACGGTTGTCCTCTCTGTCTTTAGGCTGTTGCCTTGCCTCTTGACTTACCGTATTGTACACTTATATTTCAATCTCTTGTATATAGTGTACATAGCTGTAAATATCTTATGATACTTGGTGAAAGAAAATATAATTAAAAGACTACTGCAGTGTTTATTGTGCTTCTAGCTTCCATTACGGCCATGTTAACAGACCTTGATTACCTGAAACCATAATATGGGAGCCTGTCTGGGATCTGGAGCTGGACTTAGCTGGAGCTTAGAGCTGAAGCTGGAGCAGGAGCTAGTCCTTGTATCTTAGCTATCTGGCATTGTGTCAAGCTTTGCCAATGCTTATGGTTATTGTGTGTGTTTTGCAGTCATTTTGCTGTCAGCCTTGCTATTGTGAGTATTCTGTATTTGGCTTTGCTATTGCATGTCAGCCTTGCTATTGCGTGTATCTTGCATTCACACTGTGCATAGCTGTTTGAGCGTGTATTGCAAACAGCATGTTACATTGGGGTTAATGCCACCTATACGAGTCAGATGATTGGTGTCTGAGTTCATTTTCCTAAACCTGCCCAAATTTTCTCTACATTGTTGTTGGCGAATTGCTCATTCTACTGGTATTGACTATCAAAGCACTCTTACTGCTGCACAGCTTCATGACATTACTCATACAAAGTTGAAAGCTGAGGCAGCCATGGCACACAGGATTGGTGGTTCTTCCTCTACAGGAGCAGTTAGTTGCATATCGCTTAGATTCCTGCAGAATAACAGGAGGGACGCAACACCTGAATAATCAAACCAGCAGTTTTGGGAAACAACAGGTGCCTTGGGGTTGTCTAAAGACGAGTCAGCTTCAATGACACTTGAGTTAGCAAAAATCAATCTTGAGCAGACCAGGGAACAGCGAGCATATGCTAAGGAAGAGTTTGGTAGAGAGGAGAGGAGGCAGTTTACACAAGTAGTAAATGACTTCAGTTTGCAAAAGGCAGTACAGCTCGATCCTCATTTTGTTGAAGCTGAGCCTGAATAGTTTTTTGATGCATTTGAAAACTAGGCTCAAGCCTTAAGGTGGCATGAAGTGCATTGGGCAGCAGTGGTGTATACAGTGTTGTTCAGTAAGGCACAAGAGTTTACATTTGTGTTAAAGAATGAAGAGATTTTGATAATTATTGGGTGGTGAAAACCACAGTTCTTGGGGCTTACCAGTGCATTCCTGCCAAGTACATGAAGGAGTTCAAACTAGCCAGACAACAGCTGGGTCAGTCTTATGTCAACTTTGTAAGACAGCAGACAAAAGTCTTTACCAAGTGGTATAAGCTAAGTGGTGTCGCTAACTTCGGGGACTTACTTCAACTAATTTTGGTGGATAACCTGCTGGAATCTGTTGGACCAGAGGTTCACAACTTCCTTCAAGATCATTCGTTGGCTACTGCATTGGAAGCAGCCAGGTTGGCTGATACTTTTGAAACTAACCACTCCTTGTCCGAGTGGTCTTACCTTTCTCCAACAGCCTGGCATGAGCAGAGATCGTCAAAGAAGAATTCCTGATTGGAGAATGAAGCGCTAGGATGCAGGCGAACAATGATGCCAGCCAACTAAGTTACTTGGCAAGCCACGATACTCAACTTATGGTCAACCTGGTGTGCAAAATCAAACCACTGAACATGGTGAGCCACGACATCAGTATCCAGAGTGGGGGAACCAAGGTTAAAAATGAGGTAATGTGTTTTCTTTGCCATAAACCCAGCCATGTGAGACCGAACTGCCCACTTAAACCCCAACCAGTAGGGAGAATTATTAATATCCCAATGGTAAACCAGAAACAGGTAGAGTGCAGGATGGCCCTGTATTATAGCACTTGTCAAATTTCCCTTCAGGAGAAGTAAAAGAAAACGAAAGCACGAACATTTAGAGATACTGGGGCATATTGCTCTTTAATACGAGAGGGAGTACTTCCCCTTTCTGAACAAACTTCATTATCCTCCTCAGTTCTGTGAGAAGCATTTGGAGGAGCAGTATTTTCTGTCCCTTTACATAAAATATATGTGCAGAGTAAATATTACACTGGATATTTGACTGTAGGTGTTTCTGACGGATTTCCTATGAAAGATGCCATGTTATTACTGGGTAATAACATTAATTCTACTAAGTGTACAGAACCTATATGTTGGCCATAACTGGGGCAAAATCCGAAGGAATATCTGATGAGAATGCTAACCCATCCTTGGACAATTCTGATCTTGGAATTGACAATTTGTTTTACAAAGAAATTGACCAGAGCCTCGTAAATTTAGTGAACAGACCCAGATCAAGCCTTCCTATTCCAGGGTTACAGGATTGCCAGATGTCTCTGTTTCCATGCCCAAAGGACTGCACTTTCTGGAGGAAGAGCGGAAAGACCCTTCACAGAATATCGCATTTCAGGCAGCTATGGGTGAATCCCCCTCAGATCACCCTGTTAAATATGAAATTAAAAACGACATTTTAATCTGCACTGATACTGGTAAGGAGGTAGAGGGAAGGCAAAAGGCAGATAGATTGGTAGTTCCTACAAGTTTAGATCCCAAATACTAAACATAGCTCATAACTCTTCGTTAGGAGGCCACTTAGGAATTACTAAAACTATGTATAGAATATTAAAGGAATTCTTCTGGCCAAAGTCAAGGCAAGGTGTGAAGAATCTTATCCCCTGTTGTAGAGAATGTCAGCAAGTAGGAAAACCTGGACACACCATTAAACCTGCACCTCTCCATCCTATACCTGCTGATGGAGGAGTTTTTGCAGAGATAATTATAGATTGTGTAGGTCCATTACCTAAGTCCAAGTCTGCGAATCAATACTTATTCACTATTATGGATAAAGTAACTAGACATCGGGAGGAAATCCCAATGCGCAGTATCAATACTAAACCCACACTTAAGGCCTTAACTAGGTTTATTTCCTGCTTAGGCATTCCTAACTATTCAGAGTGACCAAGGTACTAATTTTACTGCCAAAGCTTTTAGGGAAGCATTAACTAGGCTACGAATAATTCACAACTTATGCACTGCCTATCATCCTCAGTCCCAGGGCGCCTTGGAAAGATTCCATCAGACTGGGATGAATAACTATCTCTGTTGCTGTTCGCAATGAGAGAAACTGTGCAGAAGTCTACAGGGTACAGTCCGTTTGAGCTGATCTTTGGGCACAATGTACGAGGTCCTCTTCGGGTGCTCAAGGAAGGATGGATGGGAGAAGACGCCTGCTGAACACTCTACAACCCTTCTTCAAAGTTAGCTAAGGCTAACTTAAAAGCAGTTCAAAATACGATGAAACAGAGGTATGTCAGAAATTCAAAGTTCTGCTCCTTCCATCCAGGAGAAAAGGTGTTAGTACAGGAACCTATACCTGGCCACACCTTAAAAGCTAGATTTACGGGACCTATGCAAATTGTAAGTAAATTATCTGATGAAATTACGTGGTATCTCCCCTTGACAAGACCTCAAAAAGTAAAACATACCACATTAATCAGATAAAGTCCCAGTAGACGACCCTGACTCTTTGCACTCTATCCCTGAAATCCAAGTAAAGTTTCCCAATTCTGTCCTTTTTAAGGACCCCAGTCCTTTGGTGGTGGGGCTGTCTGAGAATCAAGTAATAAGTTTAACTGTGTTCCCACAATCTTACCCTGATATTTTTTTTTTTTTTTGCACGTGCCGAAAAAAATGTACACTAGGATATCATGATGTAGATGTTGAAAACTCTAAATCTAAACTCTCCCCCTACAGAGCTAACCCTGAAAAACAGAGGCTACTTCAGTAGGAGGTAGAATTTCTGATAGAGCATGGGTTAGTGGAGGAGTCATCTAGTCAGGGGGCTTCTCCGTGCATCCTTGTTAAGAAAGCTGATGGAGGTTTTCAAATGTGTAGAGACTACCGTAAGGTGAATGAGGTTACCATTTCAGATGTTCACCCTCTGCCACGTCTGGATGACATAATCCACGTCATGGATAAGGCTACTTTTGTATCTAAATTAGACCTACTTAAAGGTTACTATCAGGTACCTTTAATAAATAAGGCAAAGGAAATTTCTGCCTTCGTAATTCCAG